TTGCTTGAAGTGCTTGAGGATATATCCATGTTTACAGTTGAGTTCTGACGTTTCGGACTCATTGCAGAGTCCATCTTCAGAGTGATGGTTGCTAGTCGGTGGCTGCAACTATACTGGACACGTAAATAAACGTGACGTGGATAAACGTCAGAACTCAACTGTAAACATGGATATATCCTCAAGCACTTCAAGCAACAAGACAATCCATGAAAGTTTTAACACATTCATGTATTAACACTTTATAAATGATTTTTTTTCCATAGAAATTTTAAAAACTATGTCACTATCTAAATAAATTTTTAATAACTAACCTTGAGAGCAATAGGTTTTTGTTCATTCCCAGGTTGTTTGACCATAACTACTTGAGTTTGCTGTCCAGTTTGCTGTTGTGGCCTCATCATTAATAACTGTTGTAATTGCTGCTGAGTAATTTGTTGGGCTTCTGACTGAACACCTCTTACACTCTGTTTTACAAAAATTACTTGTGGCTGTTCACTTTCTATATCTTCAGTTTTATTATCTAAATCTGGTTTTCTTATGATCACTTGCTGTTTATTTTGTTGCAACATTTGTTGCTGAAGTTGTTTACGTTGCAATATTTTCAACTGCACTTGCTGCTGTTTATGCATTTTTTGTTGTTGCTGTATTTGAAGCAATTGTTGAATAGGTTGTTTCAAACCAACTTCAGGCTGACTTGACTGACTGGTCATAACTGTAGTAAGTTCAGAACTAGACTGAATAGCTTGGTCTGTTCTCTTTTGTTTTAATACTAATATCTGTCGCTGAAGTTCTTTGCTTTGAAGAGTTTTATTAATAGACAAAGGATCATTTTGATTATTTAATGAACCTAAAATAAAAATGAACCAAATATAAATTAATAAAATTAACCAAATCACTTCTTTTTATTAAAACTTAAAAATTAGTTTCGATTCTAAGTAAAAAATTAAGAGGAAAATACTTGGTAAGACTTTTTTAAATTATTAAAGAATTATTTACAGGAATCATAAAAAAAATGTCCCAAGAACTAAATAATAGATCAAATTGAAGTAGCTTAACTTTGTAAAAAAAATTACAAAAATCAAGTCTGTTTAGTTCTATATTTTTACAATAAAATCTAAATTTAAAATTTCCTAAAAAACAGTTCATTTGGATAAGTTGATTGAAATGTAAAAAACGCACAGTCTAAGAATAATATAGATATATATATATGTATCATGTATTATAAATGAACTTTGTAAACCAATTGGAAGCCACCATGGTAATTAAAAAAAAATTCTTATTTTGAAGTTAGATAATATTCCCAATAATTTTTTCATTTATATTGTTTATTTACAATTAAATCCCTTTTATTTTATTTTAATATTATATAGAGTTTCATAATAATAAAGATTATATTTTAAATATTAAATATTTTGAATGCCAATCAAATTAAAATTAAAAATAAAATACTAATTTTCAAAGCAAACAAACTATAAAATTATTTATATAAGCATCATATATATTTTTTTATATAAAATATTTGGGAATTTTATTCATGGGACAAAAGTTTTTTTCAATTCAAACCCCCCTTGTTTTACAACTGTACAACAGTTCAGTTATGCTCACTAAACCAAATACACTTTGAATTGACTGTTAGCTATATTTGTTTATCATCTTTGGATACCTTCATTAGTCCACCACTAACATAGGTATGAATTGAATATGAATATTTTATTACACTTACTATTTTTAAGTTGTATAGAGTTTAAGAAAAACATATAAAAAGTTATATACTGTGGTTTTCTGTGTCCTTTTACAATAAGGATATGGTTTTTACCATCTATTAAATTTTTTTTATTATAACTATATCTATATTTTATAAGCAACTAAAATGCACTGCCTAACATCGTCTCTCTACAATTAAATTGTGAATAACAAAATGACCTGTTGTTGGAGCAATGGAAACAGATTGAGCAATTTGAACATTCCTAAGGTTCTTCTTTCTAGGAGTAATAGCTATCAAGTCGCCTGATGATAAAACATGTTTCTAAAATATATATATAAATATGATTTAAACAAAAAAAACTGTAAAAAAAAAAAAATTAATTACATACATTAGGAATACTATGAGTAACAATTTGGCCATTGTGAACAAAAGTTTGATTGGTGTTATTTGCAGCTTGATTAATATTGATCATATGGCTATTATTTAAAACAACTGTTTGTGTATTAACAACCTTCAAGGGTGAATTTGTAGTAACAAATTGATTTGAAACATTACTAATGTTAGTAGATACAACACTAGATTTATTTTTGGTAGTAATTGTAGATATACCACTGGTAGTAGTCATAGAAAAAATTTGAGGAGTTTCAATTTTACTCTGACTTGTAGTGGATGGACATTCTACATTTATATTTATTGCAACATTATCTGACATTTGCATTGTTTGTACAGGTACCTTTCTACTCCTAATTATTTTTGAATGTTTCACTAAATGTTGATTAATTTCTTCAGAATGTCCAATAACTTCTTCTGCAACTGATATATTCATGTCTGGTAATACAGGAGAACTACTAGAACTTTGTACTGAGTCTTTTGTTGTATTTGATGGAAGATTTAATATAGCTAGAGATTCTACAGCATCAGATACAAGTTTGTGATTTGTTAATGAAGTTTTTAAATCTGGAGATTTTTTAACAGGTTTATTTCTTCGCCAACACTTCATTTTTACAGCACCTTGCTGTTCTAAATGTAAACGTTCTAAAACATAAAATCAATTATAAAATAAGAAGACAAATCTCTTTCAGTATTTAACTCACCGAATTCTTCCATTGATCGACCTCTATGCAAATAAATCCATATCTTACGCTTAGGATCATATTTGACACAAGGGTCATGTTCATAATGCAATCTATCTAAAGCCCCACTAACAGCATTATGTAATTCAGTTTGATTTACATCCATTAAGTATTGAGAATCTTTAAGCAATGTACAAATATCACTACGAGTTCCCATTCCATTTGGTAGTCTAGCAGTTGCATCACGTACTAATAACAATGAAATTATATGATTAAATGTGAAAAATATACAGAATAGTCTACGATTTTTGATAAATCTAATAACTTTTGATCTACTAAATAATTTACACTACTTTATATTAATAATTCATGCATTCTTAGATTATATCAAAATCATGTTTTTTTTAATTTGATTTTAATAATAAAAAAATATAATTTTTTTTCAAAATAATCATTTTTTATAGACTTCCTTATGAAATATTTTAATTGACAATAACAATTTTAGAACAATTACTTATTAAGTTACAAGCATTTTAAATATAGATTAAATAAAAAGGGCAGGTGAGTATAGCTTGTATTGATGTATATTTATAATGTATAATACACTCGTTATAAACCTATAATATGTTTTAAATTCTTATAACTCTAGAAGTATTTGTTCCAAGTTGTTAGTCAATTTCAAATTTTGGAAAAAATAAAACTATTTTTATTCATTTTTTATTAAGTTAACAGTTGTTGAAAAATTCTATCAAATTGTTAAAGCAAAGCCAATCTCAAATAGTGGGGACAGAGGCTATGATGATGATGGATGAATTTTATTTTGTTTATTGTTAAAAACAAATAATAAAAATATGATTTTAACATAGTTAAAAAATACATGAATTATTTTTAAAAAAAATAATGCAAAATATTTAGTTTAAAAATGATTAGATTAGTCAAAATATCGTGGATCACCTTGTATAACACAATTACAAAATTTATCTACCTAACACTAGTATAGATATAAAATGTGGTCTATTTTCAATCAACAAAGAATGACCTCTGGCTGCTTTATGGATATTAGATGAATTATATATACCTCGGACAGGTCCCACAATAGATTCATAGCCATGCATTCGATACACAAAAGACCTGTGAGGTTTTAAAAATCTCTGCCTTTCCTAAAATAAATAGTTTAATTGTATTAGTGCAATAATGTTTGGTTAATCATAAATACCTGAGATTGAAAATCTGCACGCTCTTCTGAATTAGAAGGTGTTACAATCCAAGTATCTAATAAAGGTGTAGGAAGTGATAATGATGAGTCGGTATCAGACATTTCTATCAATGGAATATCCGTTATAGTAGTTACAGGAGAAATTTTAAGATTGTTATCTTCTTTTGAGGCTTTTAATTTTAAACTTATATTATTCAAATTATGAAGCCAACATTTACATAATTCTCCAAGTCTACTATCTGAATCTCTACCTGCACCAATCCACTGATAAGTGTCTAAATTAGGTTTATATTCAATGAAAGGCACAAAGTCTTCAGGTTGCCACTCTAAAAATTAAATAAAGAATTCATTAAATTCATAAAAACATGTAGTTGAAACAATTAAAAAAAAATTATCTAAATTGGTCTAGAAATATTTAAATAATAATTTAAGCTGGGCTAATATCACTTTTTTTTTATAAATATTTTTTACCAATATTTAAATATTTTAATAAATAAAATTAAAAAATAATACATCACTTTTCAGTTTTTTAATCAAATAGAACTTTCAGAATATATTATTAGATGTATTTTTTGCCCTATAACTCCATTAAAAATAAAAATTAATGAATAATAGAGCATAATATTTTATAATAATATAACAATTTTATATGATTTTAAAAAATAATAGAAAATATAGACTAAGTAAAAATATATTCACATTTTCATGAAAGCATGGATATATATCGGTAAGCATTCTAATTAATATTACAATTCATGATAGCTTATAAAATAATTTATAAGTAAATTATTAGAAAAATTATGAATGTAACAGGTCAGTTGTTATAAACTATGAGAACAATAGAAACCTGTTTCCTTACTTACTGAACATACTATATATAGGAAAACATTATATTATTCATATAGAATTCAAAAACTATTCTCTACATTATACAATTTAAAATTATCAGTGTAAGGGCAACTTGTGATAATATTTAATTATTTTCAAAGTTAATAATAAATATACTGTGATTATGGATTTTAAAAAAATTGAGACCAATAAATCTGATACTGCATATATCAGCCAATATTTAATATCATAATCCATATCAGCTCAGTCCTAAAACTATTTTGAAAAATGAATGCATTTTTTATGGAATATTGATATCTTAAAATTATTTATTGAAAAGAAATTAATTTTTTCATTAATAACTTGTTTATTTATTCAAAAACACTGACACAATACATTCACAATTTACTTTAATTAATTAATCAAACAATTAATATTGTAGGACATTATTTAAAACTTAGATTTATTTCAATTATACTACTTACCTGGAAAATGTCCAGCTAGAAAACCAATAGCAGATTGTAAAGCTTTTGGCCATGATTTTTGTGCTAAGCAATGAAACCACAGTGGATTTTTTGAATTAGTCATTAATGATGTGGCCCAATCTTGAACACGTTCTATTAAAACACCCATATTCATACGATATTCCCAATTAGAGCATATTATATCACGGATTAATGTAAAGAAACTAACAGTTAAATTTTGTACTTCAGGAAGACGTCTAACACAGAGAAATTTATAAATTACAAAATATTTTCGAATTAATAATTTAAGACAATAAACTTACTTAATTCCCAAATCATCATTACATTCACTCTTAATATCCAAAACATGAAAACCTTCTAACTCAGACAAAGATCCAACATAGTTAGAATCTGTGACCACTTTACTAGGTGTAGATACTGGTGACAATGATAATTGTTTTGAATTGTAGTTATTAGGTGTTAGTGCTTGCATACAGGACTGCAAAATCCTTGGAGGTGATCTAAAAATAAAAATATCTTAAGATAAGCAAAAAGGTAATTTGGTACATTATAAAACAGTAATATTTATAAAAACTATTATCGTTGATTTTTTTAGTATTAACAAAATTAATATTAAATGTATTTTTAAAAAAATAAATAAATGTATATATTAAAAATTATGACAAAATGAATATAGAAATAAGCTGAACAGAATAAATTCAAGATTAAACACGTTACTGGCCTAGCTAAATAGGCACTATTAGTAAATTTATTCTACATTATGGCTTACTCGGTATTAATAGACTGTACAGTTGTAGTTAACATATCTTCAGGGTGGAATTCTCGTTTCATAGAATAGTTAGAAGGACTAAATTTAGGTTCAGTAATTTTTTCAGTTGATGAAGGTGAAATTGGAGGATTATATTTCTCTTCGGCATCACTCATTTGTTCTAATAGCATAGCAGCTGCAGCTTGACCTTCTTCAGCTTTTCGTATTTCATCTGCTGTTAAATTTACAGATTCTATTTTGATAGGTTTACTTACTTTTTCTTCAACTTTTTCTAAGTTGCAATTTCTATTTGTATTAATACAAGTTTCTAATTTTATGGCATTTATATTTTCCACCATAAGCTCTTCTTTTTTAGTTTCAAGTACTGGAGGTAATGATGGTGGTGGTAATAATGGTAAAGAAAGAGGTGGAGGCGATGGTGGTGTAAGAGAACATAATTGTTTTGCTTGTGATTTTTTATCAAATTCCAATTTATAAATTGGTGCATTATTAATATCTATTTTTAAATTTTCAGAGGATGGTCGTTTTGATACATGGCTAGTATTTACTTCATCTAACTTTATAGTTGGAGGAGCAGGAGGTTGTTTTGGTATTTTTGTTCGTTTGACTCGAGACCGTTCATTAGCTGCTGACCTTTTCTTTTCTTGCACCAACAAAGTAGGTTTAACGAAACTTTTTGCAGCAAATTGTTGTAAAGAGAGTTCTTTTTGTTCCTTAAAATAAAAAAATAATTATTAAATTTACAAAAATATTTAATAATTAATTTCAATAAAATTAATTAATTAGTTGCTTATAATATAAAATCTAAAAAAGCAGAATAATGTCATAAATTAAAAAAATATACATTTCTTATTAAGTTTACCACAAACAAATAAACTAGTTTGCTAAGATAATGTATAATAAAGCAATTAATTAATGTTTTCTCAATAAAGAAATAAATAGACTATCTATTTTGTTAAATAAAATTTTCAGAAACCTCTTTTTTAAAAGAGGCAGTGGTAGCTTTAATGAGTCATATAAATTATTTATATAATAATCAAAAATTTGAATTACATAGTTTCAGTACAAGAAGTAATTTTATTTTTATAATTATCAATAGAACTACCACAAAAATCTCACAAAAAAATATGTAGAAAAAAATGTCCAGAAAAACTTTTTCATTATTGATAAAAATCTCATTTTGTTAAATTTTGAGATACATATTGTTACAGTTTAATCGACAATATACTTTAAAATAAGGCACATTATTTTTCAAAACAACAAAATTAAGTTAAATGGTTTTGTATGCATTAAAAACTATACTACCAAAAATGTTAAATCAATGTATCAATAACATACTTGTTCTTTTTTCTTTAATTTTCTCTTGTGAGATATTAACATATCACGATACATATCTTCAGTTGGATCAAATGGGTTACTCATGGGTAAAGCTACTTTTGATAAATCAATTCCATGAGGATAAGTAGCCATTGTCGATGTGATAATATCCAACTCTGGCAAAAGAGAATTTTTAACAACATCTAAATGTCGTTGCTGTTTTTTACTTAAACGAGCTGGAGGCCCTTCTATATTTAAATCATTAACTTCAAATATAATTTAATATAACACAGTACATTATTTTATTTTTTACCTTGATAATTACTATCTGAACTATCACCAGATTCATCTCCAACTTGATGCTTAATATCCGCAAGTTCACGAAAGTACCGTCTTTTTACTTGCTGGTGGGTAGTATAACTATTTGTTCCTCCTACATTAATAGCAGACATTGTAGGATATTCGTTTAATTCATCAATAATTTTTTTGCGCCCTGATAATAATTTTTTCAGCATATTATAACTATATATCCGTTGATTTTTTCTATAAAACATAAATTTAAGGGTTAAAATGAATTATAACACTCAAAAACTATAGAAACAAAACTTAATATTAGAATACCTATATTCTCTTTTTAAAGAACGGCGTAACAATGATTTTAATTTAACAATATCAGGACGAAAATGACCATTTTTTAATTTATCATGAAAATCATCAATTGGATTTACACCAAAACGAAAACTCTGTCCACCAAACAACATTCTCAAAGTGATCTCTTTTTCCATTAGATCATTTTCAGAAAATGTGGGAAGGAAATTCTGTAAATAATATAATAAGTTTTGCATAAATATACTAATAAAAATAGTGAATTATATGATGTTCATTGACAACATTAATACATAAATGTGAAATTAAAAAATAAAATCAATATAATTACTTTTAAATGTTGTTTTTGTTGGTCACTTAAGCAAACCCACGAATTAACAGAAAATAATTGCTTAAATACTTCTCCTTCGTCACACATACCAGCTGGTAAACTGAGTTCAGTTTTATTGGCTATAGCAGTCTCAGTTTTAAGTAATCTACATTCATCTTCATCTGCAGTACTTGTACTTTCAGAATCTGATCCTGATTGGCTACTACTAGACGAACTACTAGTTTCTGATGAACTAGTACTTGAAGTTGAAGTTTCTGTATCATCATCACTATCATCTTGTTCAATTTCAGGAGATGATAATTCATCTTCATCTGCATTCGATGTAGATGCGTGCGGCCAGTGTTGATAATCATCATAACTAGACATGTCTTCACCAAAATATTGAGTTATATACTAAAACAAATAAACAGACAATTTATAATACCAATCTTTTTTAAATAAAATTTATTGTTATTCGTGAACTAATAGAAAATGCAGAAAAGTTGTGTTAACAATAAGTATTAAAAATTTAATAAACAGTAATTTAAAATATTTTATATATGATTTCTAATGAATGTCTGATTAAACATCTTGCATTCAAACAATTAATTGAAATAAGTTTTCAAAAAGTAATCAATTTTGATTTTTTAAAAACAGACTTTAATGTTTGAATTTTAAGAGAAAAATAAATAATTGGGATAACTTATAAAGTAAAAACTTTTTCTAATTAGTTGAAAACGCTTAAAAACAAATAATTTTCTCTTAAAGTTTTATATAATTCATTAATTACTTACCTATTTTTAAAGATAACTAATAAAATTATTAATATTATAATATTATCTACCGGTTTGAACTTATATCAAGGTATTACTGACAAGTATAAAATTTAATATCAACAACTTAGAAAGTTGAAAAACAAATAATGAACCAATTTTAGTTTATCGTGACAACAAGTATGATTGCAAACCACGAACATGTACAACGGTCGGTGACCGCAGTTGCCGTGATGTGTGCATACGTCGCGAGCAAAGCATTAAGAAAATTAATTTTGTTCGTGTAGACATAATAATAAAATAATGTAACACTAAATCCCACTAACCGAACGCTGTTATCGAACGTCACGATACTACAGCAATGAGAAAAATTGTTTACATGAAAACTAACCGCAATGCGCGCGCAACCAATATTTTGGTGATAATAAAACGTTTTCATGGAAAATTGTAATAAAAATTACTTTTTAATCCATGAAATTTTTTTTAAATACAATAATATTCATAAAATCCCACTTAAAATATTACTTTTTTAATTAATATTCAGAGAATTATTAAGTCAATTAGAAATCAATCGATTTTTGATAAACTAAAACAGTTTAACTAACTAAAGCTAACTAACTGCTAAAATTTAGCAGCGGAGGTTCATAGTATAAATTATATAAAAATAATTTTATTTTAAGGGTACTCCTTAAGAATAATTTTTCATGAAAACTTTTTCATTTTTTTATAATTTTTCAAATTATATATTTTTATTTAATAGGAATGACAGAAATAACAATAATTATAATGTAGTATACATGAAACATTAATTAGTTTAAATTTGAATATACACACACACAAATATTTATATGTTTAAATTTAATTATACACATTTATAAATACATATATATTTATTTATTTTTAATGATAACCTTAAGTTATGAGTATTACTGTAGTTCTTTGCCAAGTAAAGATAGTTGTTCTAAAAATTCTGGAGCATTATTTATAACTGTTGATCCATAAACAATTTTTAATGTTGGCATACCAGGAGTCACAGTTTTATTTTTTATATACTCTAACAAATTTTGATATTCAATATAATTTCCACCACCAACAATGAATATTATTGCTTCATTAAATGTATTTTTAGTTTTAAAATTATCAGAATTGCGCAGCTGTTTTGGATCAAAATGACGAAATTCATCTGATGACCCAGAAGATTGTTTATTTTCCAATAATTCATCAAGAATCCGAGTTACTGGAAACGTATGTCTTTTGACAACTAAATTTTTTACTCCTTCCATAACAAAAGAGGATGTATGAGAAAGTAATTTTTCAAACATATTAACTGACTTAGTACCACCTCCATATTGGTTGGTAGTAGAGGTAATATTAGAATACATTTTCCATCTTTTGATATATTTTAAGGGACTTAAATCACAACCTTGTTTTTCCAATTCTGATAAATACATGTCCATATCTAAATCTGATATTGTATGTGTGTAAATGTAATAAATTATAAAAAGTCTCATTTTATCTTCAGCAGTACCAGCTTCTGGATCATTGATAACATCTAATATTTGTTTGTCTAATGAAGCTTGACTCATAACCTTTTCTTCAAATTCAAACAAAAGATCTAAACGACGAGATTTAATGGCAGAGAGTATACTTGTAGCTAAATCAGTATGCATGTCTATTAATCTTTTTTTTTCTAATAACTGTGGTAAATTATTGACAGCAGAGGTCAATTTAGCAGTATTATCAGTCATCATAGCTAGAGCTACATCACTTTCACCATCTAAACCCATTGATTCCTTTAGTTGTTTAACTTCTTCTTCAGAATTTTTTAATTGTTCCAATTCAGACTGAATAGATTCTGCTACTGTTGGAAATGGACTACCTTTATGAGTTACCCAAAATGAATCTTTTGGGTCTAAATCAAAAGTTTTTGGCTTTTTTTGTTCCTGTGTCACAGTAACTCTATTCAAGTTTAGTTTTAAAACATCATGAACCAATGCTTGGTAAGTCCAAGTATGATGTAAAGGAGTTGCCATATCAACATTACGATCTAATACAATTAAAAGTGGTCTTTGAAAGTTATAAACTCCCGAACTTTCTGATGAAAACAAACTATTACGTGTATCACGCAAATTTTCTCTAAGTTTTTTATCTAACTTTTCAGCAACCATTTCAGCTGCATTTCCACGGGCACTTCGAATAATAGGTAGAGTTCCAAGAGTAGCAAAAACAGAATATAAACCATCTACAGTGTCATCTATCATAACTTCTACATCAGTATCTTTAGCATCAGCCCGATTTAAATTATAGTAGGATACAGCTTGATTGTTTTGATTATTCAAAACAAAAAGTTCATCTTCTAGAGAAATAAAATTTAAATATTGGTCAAATATTCTATTAACTTGGTTAACATTATCAGTTTGTAAAGCAGAACTTGCTAAGTCTTCCAATTTTTGACGAGATATGGCTGAAATGAAGTTTAAATAATACTTCTCATACACATTATTTTGAAAATCTTGCGCAATTCGATCTAGATTTTCTTGATCAGGCATACAAAAGTAAATAGCTGCAACATCTGGTATTGGATCCCGTTCCGAATGAATATTCAAATGAAGAGTTACACCACACTCACGTAATTCTTTTATAGGAATTAATGGAGATAAAATATCTTGTCCACGACGATCATAAATTAGTACTTTCCAAACAGGTTCAGAACCATTATCTTTAAAATCAGAACTATTTAGGTTAAGCATTTCTTTTAATGCACTAATTTGCTTATCTCTAACAGATGCCATTTTATATATCAAATTTATTCTGACGTAAAAATATTATTTTATAATTTCTTTAAGTCTATTAAACATTCTGTTCAACTGACCTGAAATATATAAAAGAAAAAAGTTAGTTTCTAAACAAAATTTCATATGCAATAAGTATAAAGTTACTTAAAATTAATCATTATTAAATTTATTGTTGCACATAATGTATTATATAGCATTATAATCAATTTGTCCAATTTATAGTCAAGAGATAAAATTGCTACAAATTATTTTTTGGAACTAAACCAATTATCAACTAAGACATCACACATAATTTTAATATATCTACTATAATGAAGCCATGTAAGTTTATGCATTCAATGTATAAACCATAAATGTATAAATTATAAATTTAAAATTGCATACATTTTAATAAAATGTATAATATACATTTTGTTAAAAAAATTCTAAAAGCAACTATATCCAAATAAAAATATTTCTAGTTGAATTCAGAATGAAGTAATATACAGTAGAACCTCATTAATCCGGACCTCATTAGTCGGGACTTCGCTTAATCCGGACAGCTGTCTAATATTACGAAAAATATACAGTTTATGCCGTAGACTAAAATAAACATAAAGGCAAGTTCCTCGAATTTCCCATAAGTACATATATTCTTATCTACCGTCATTAAAGTTAGATAAACTATGTATTAGTAATTTATATTTTGGTCATTATTATATATATACATAATTCTATCCACATTAAATATGTAATGTTTTTGCTGGATTTAATATCATGTTGCAATATATATATATATATATATTATATCATATATAGTATTTAGTATAATATATATTCTTAAATCTATAATACGGACATGTTTTTTGGTTATTTTATTTAATCCGGACTTTCATTAAATCGGACAACCTAGAGCCCTTATTAGTCCGGATTAATGAGGTTCTACTGTATTTAACATGTGATATATTGATAGGGGACTAAAGAATAAAACTATTAAGTCCCATTAAAAAAAAAATATTACATTGTTATTTCACCTAATTATGAACTTACTTAATTGTAAACTACTAACTTTCACTTACTGAATTTTTTTTAAGATAGCTCTTTAAAATGTTATAAACGTATGAACTTACAAACTCTAATTAAAGTTATTATTCTTAAAAATAATTAAATTGATTTTCTCTTTTCATACTACACATCAAATTAATGTTTTTTTTTAGATTGCTTGAACAAAATGAAAGTTCAACAACTAATAAAATGATATAATTGTATTTTTTTTATCATTAATAATGTTACTAATAATAGAAAACTATTGAAAAAACAAAAATTTTTAATTTTATTAAAAGTATCATAACATGATACTTTAGTATTGGAATATTATTCAAACATTAATATTAAAAATAAATATGATTATACAATTTTAGTGATATTATTATAATTTTATCATTCCTCTATTTAAATTCTAAATGACAAAAAAATAAAAGTTAACTCAACAAATTTCTGATAAACAAAAATAAATATTGAAAATTCATCATATTTAATTAACAAAAAAAAATGTATTATGATTTTAAATTTAATTAAATCATACACTACATAAATTTACAAACAATTTATAGTAACAAAAAATTAAAAATACAATGAAATTAAGCAAACTAAAATTTGAAACCTTACCTTAGGTTAATTTCAAAGGATTTTTATCAAACACATTTCTCTATTTTATTTTTAAATAAAGAGTTTTACTGATTAATTTTGGAACACTTTAGTTGAAATAATACAAAAATCATAAATAAATAATTGGTCATACTTAATACTAAGCACAAACTTGATTTTTGAACAGAATTTCCATTATCATTTATATTTGGCCAAAGTGATGATTACTATCACTGTAGTGTTGTCAGTTACCACGTCGACTTTATACTACCCAGTTAAAAGTAACAATCATTTTAACCTCAATTTTCATAATATGTACACATTCCATACACTGCCTTTTACATTAGCTGATTGTGACAATATATATAACAATAATTTTATTTTGCTTTACTAGTTAAAGAAATTTTTTTTCATAAATTAAAAAGTGTAATTTAAAACGGTATACAAATTATCAATTTGTCTCTAAATAATATTTCATTACTGTGTTGTTATTTTTGTTTTACTATGGCTTTCAATTTAACAGTTAAAATACATCCAGTGGTGTTGTTTCAAATTGTTGATGCTTACGAGCGTAGAAATATTGACGCTCATAGAGTAATTGGAACTTTAATGGGTATATATTTTATATATTAAGGTGTTTTTACTTTGCTTACTTTTAATCATTAATTGGATTTAGGCACTGTTGACAAAGGAGTGGTAGAAGTAACAAATTCTTTTGGTGTTCCTCATAAAGAATATGAAGATACGGTTTGTTTTAAAAAATGTTCTATTTTGTAAACATAACTGTATAATTATATTTTATTGAATGTTTCTGTAGGTAGAAGCTGATATTGTTTATGCGGCTGACATGTTTAAAATGAATCAAAAAGTAAATAGGTCTGAACAAATTGTTGGATGGTGGGCTACAGGTAGTGAAGTAACAACACATTCTTCCACTATTCATGAATACTATTTAATGGAATGTAATAACCCAGTACATATTACTTTGGATACAACATTGAAAAGTGATAATATGGGATTAAAAGCATATGTCAGGTATATTTAGACAAATTTTCTAATTATAATTTAATACCTTTCTCAAATAAGTTTTATCATAAAATTAGCAAAACATAAAATATCATGTCAATGATATATCACATACTTAACTAATATATTTTTAATATAAATTAAATTTCTAAAAGAACTATTATTTCAATTTTCATAACTATAGTTTTTTAGGAAATTCAGTTATTTTAAAAAGCTATCCTTATTAAAATATTTTCTTATTTTTAGTACACAAATTGGTGTTCCTGGTGGAAAAACTGGAAACATGTTCATTAATGTTCCCATTGAAGTAACTTCATATCAACCTGAAATAGTTGGGCGTAAGTTAATTGTTTATCCTAGAAAGAATTATTCAATTTTAATTATTGATTTTATGTAATTTTTAGTAAGTTTATGTCAAAAAACTGTTTCTGTTGGGCAAAAATGTCAGGAACCAATTGCTGAGCTAGTACAAATCGAAGAAGCGTCTTCAAAAATATCTGATCTTTTAGACATAGTTTTGGCTTATGTTGATAAAGTTTTAGCTTCAAATGATTTCAACACAACTGATAAAAGCTACATTGGTCGAATGTTATTAGATTTAATGCATAGTGTACCACATGTTACACCTGAGCGTTTTGAAGAAATGTTCAATTCTAATGTTAAAGTAATGCAATATTTTTTAAATCAACATTTTTTACTTTTCTTTGTTAAATTATCTTAATCAAAAAAGTACTTATAATTTTTATTATAAATGAGTACATAGCATAAAACGGTTGCATCAGCTTCTAATAATATTATTGCAGTATAAACAACCATTTAAATAAAAACATAAGGTCATACAAATTTTTCAGTTTTGATTAAATCTTAAAAAAAAAAAAGTTTTTTATAATAAAACTTTTAAACTCTTTTTCTTCTTCACCGCCTTAATCCCAACTACTTGAGGACGGCCACCCTTATCCTAAACTTCCACTTGACATGATCTCCCACATCATCTACTTGCACAAGCGTTTATACTCCATCCAATCTTCTTTCATTTTGCTCTTCTGCTGTACTTTGAATTACTTTTTCTTACTTACTATGATTTTTTGAACGTCCTCATTCCACCATCAGGTTTCCTTGTTACCTAGCATTCTACTCCTACTCTCCCCAAACTAATTAACTATTTCTACATATTCCAAATATTATGCTTAATAAAATTTCTCTTGTTAATTTTTCTTAAAATCCTTGAACTGAATGAAATATTTCTATTGAAATTAATATGGTTATTTTTTTTAGGATTTATTGATGGTTATTACATTGTCTCAACTTACAAAAACTCAATTGGAACTTAACGAAAAACTTACATTACTCAGTCTGTCTTAATTTTAAGTTTAAAAAGTAATATCTATTGTAATTTTATTGATGATAAAGTTCATTTTTCAATTCAATGTGTTTTCCATCATTTATAAAAATGAGTTTTATTAAAGCAGTGTATACATTATCAACACCATAATATTTTATCAAGTATATCTATTATTTTTCTTAGCACTTAAACATTTTAAATTAATAAATATTAATTATAGGGGTATTAATTATTATTATTATTAATTATAATTATAATATAGGGGTGATTCACCACACCTCCACAACACTAAAATACTTATTAATATTCATTGATTAGGAGATTAGGATTATAAAAAATAAATATACATTTATTTTATTAAAAACAAAAATACATCTTAATAAAACCAATTCCTTCTCAGCTTCGCATCGAAGCTAAAAACAAATATATATTTATTTTTAATTTACTCTATATGGCTAAAATTAATTTTATGTGCATAAAATCTCAAACTCTTTTTATTAATTAATATTCTATTAATATTCATTTAAAATTTTATGTAAAGTAATTATATACAACAAAAATAAATGTATGTTTTCATTGTAGAAAATTGTAAACAAGGTTCCCCTAAGGATGACAAGAGCTTACCTAAAGTACTCTTGCTTCATACAGAAAATATTTCAATTTTTTTTTATTATATGTCTTAGTAAAAAGTGATATTCTGAATCTTGCAAATTATTGACAATCAAATTTTCTAATTAAACCATTATCACATTAATACTAAAATAATTATTTTTATAGATTGCAATTCCTAAAAAAGTATAGGTAAAATATCCCAAATATTTTTATACTAGAGTCAGCCTATCAATTAATAAACAGGGTGATTCTTTTAACAATAGTCACTCAATTTCTCTTGGAGTATTAAATTTTTTTCAATTTTTATTATTTACATATGTATTTCAATTTATTTGTTGTAAAATAATTTTTGGGTCTATCCCTTATAACCCATAGGGGTGTTAACTTTATTTTTTCAAATGACAACATATATATTATACTATCTTATAAAAAAAAATGACTAGCCATTTCCCGGTTGTACTTCTCCTCTTACCTAGAGGTAATAATGAGAATAAATTCCATAGTACTAGTCCAAAAGTTGTTATAGATCAGTAATTTTCTTAATTGCGCCATTTTCTATTTTACAAGCTGGTTTAACATATTTGTTTAAATTAAAAAAATATATAATTCACACATCTATAAGTTATAAGGAACAACAATGTTATACTATCAATGGAAATACATTTGCATTTGACAAAAACAAAAAAAAATTTTATATTTTAAGAGAAATTGAGTGGTTAACATTAAAAGAATTACCCTGAATAGTTGATTATAATTTATAACAATAAAAATGTTTAGAAGAATAAATCAGTTTATTCATATATTATGAAAAAATTATAAACTCAAGTGTCCAACACAAAATAATATAACATTTATTAAGCAATGAGTTTATTGCTCCACCAAATTAAAATTATTATTATTAACTAGTGTTAGTATAACATTCTACAATAGCTCATTTCTATCAGAATATTAAAATATACTTTTATGTCTTAATTTAAATAAAAATAGTTCAAAATTACTGGAAAACTAATGATTTTGATTAAAAATTAAATCAGTACATCAATAACAGTTTTCTTTTGTATAACAGTAATTAGTCCTTAATAGCATTTCATCAAGTGCTTAAAAATGCTATTGTAGCAAAATATTTGCCATCAGTTCTACTTTTTAAAACAAAATCAATATCTACTGACATAATTACACAACTATATTAAAAAATAAATTGATATTTCAAAATTTTACATAATATTACATATGTATACTTCATATAAATATATAATGATATTTATATCACAGTTCGCTGAAGTAATACAGATGTGAAAATCTTTTAATCATTATTTTTTTGAATCTACAATGATTTGATCCCCGCTAACTATATTATAACTATACAATCTTTTATTTGGGAACTTCATCTCTTCGGGTCCAACTATGGAACATATTTGTTGGTCTGCATAAAATACTCGCATACGATGTGCTGGTATATTGAAAAATTTTTCAAGCTTCTGTTTAAATTCTAAAACAGTCTGATAGACATCTAATGTATGTGATTCACATTTATCTCCGCATACTAATAAAACAGGTACTTTGCTTTCAGGTGTTAAATCAATATTGACCAATCGATCTAGTTTTCCATGAACTTGTACTACTTCATTGTACCTAGAAAACAAAATATTTTTATCATTAATACTAATATTATTATACATAAAAAACTACAGCATTGTAACTGTTATTGATAATAATAATTTATTATTAATCTATTTTTGTAAAAATCAGACTGGTATATCAACTAAATCAGATAATGATATTAATATCAAAAAAATATATTTAATTGCTATATCACATAACGATAATCAAATATTTTCAATTTACTTCTTATTATGAAAAAATAAGTTCTTTTTTGTTACAAGACTTTATCATTAACTGATTATATTAAATGGACGAATTTGTGTTTTATGAATAATACTATTAAAGTGTCTATTTTTTGGTTTTAAATTTAAAAAAATTATAAGTACTATTTATATGCTATTTAGTATTGCTTTTAGTCATAACTGAAAACAATTTTTCTACTTTTCAAAAATAAAATTTAAACATAAAACATAAAAAAATATAACATCTTCATCACTATCATTTAAAAGGGATTTATTTTTGGGGGGGACTCAATAATTTCATTTTATTTTAAGATTGAGTTTTGACCAGTTGTTTCTGTATATCTTCCTTCCAATTCTAAAATTTCTTTCTCTAATTATCCTAACACTTTACTTTGTTTGTATTTTGAATAAAATAGGAATAAGAACAATGGCATGATAAAAAACCTAATCTAAGAATAGAATTTTGTATCAACAAACATCATTTTTTGCTATATTTCATAATATATTTTATAACAAAGTGACAAAAATTCAGTTTCTTTTTGATTATGGCAATATTTCAAAAATTAGCAATATCGTTGGAAAAATTTTAAATGTTAGCTATATCAACATTGAATTAAATTATTGATATTGTTGACAAACTTCACTAAATATTTTTTCTTTTTTTAAAAATAGTCAAAGTACATAAATTATGAAAATATAATAGTATAGTGTATTTAGACATTTTCTACAAGATGATTTAAAACGTGTTGTAGGTAAATTCATCGTTCTACAACTCTACATTACTATTTTATAACATTGGACGATCTAGAACTCCCCAAATTTATCCTACTGCAAAAGAATGTATGCCCAAACATTTTTTTTTTCTTTTAGCTACTAATTTTTTATACAATTGATAACTAACAACACATAAATTTTGCCTAGTGTGTTAGTTAAAACAAGCTTTACCTAAGACTAATCAAAATTTAAATTTTTGTGCAGAGTTAGAAAAGTCTAAAGTCAAATTTTTAGAGCAATATTATTCTCAAGTTAGTTAAATACCACACATAAAAATTTATCAATATTTTTTGTATATAATTAAGATTTGTAAAATCTTAGATATTATAAATTAAGAAACATTTTTGATCCTTTTCCAATTAAATTGCTTACATATTTTTATCTCAGTAATAATAAATTATGATTTATTGATAAAAAAAATAACAAAAGCCCTTTTCTTAACGAGATCAAATTATGTTTACCTATCAGGCCGTTCTTCTTCAGATTTATCCATATAAAATCTGATTAAGAATCTCTCAGCATCTTCTCGTTCATCTGCTGTTATTTCAGCTCCTCCATTTAATGTTTGAATACAAGGTAGTCTAGCTATAAGTAACTGTCTACGTTCATGTTCTGTGTACTCTTGCCTTTCAGGATTTTCCTAAAATATTGCTATACATTAGTTTCCTAATATAAACTAAAAATTAAAAGTATGTTTAACTTTTTAAGATAATCATAAAAATTCTATGACAAAAATTTATTTAAAATTGAATGAATCTGACTAAAACATATTTGAAACTAATTGATTAGACCAGTTATTTATTATGGGAAACTTTATAAACTTGACAAAGGTATATCAGTACATTTTTTAATTGTACAACACACTATGAACATTTTAATGCATTTATAACTTAAGATTTTTTTGTGTTCATTGATTGTTTATCCACCACAATCTTACAAGAAGATATTTTGAAATTTTTATTTTATAAAATGAATTTTGAAAATATTTTAAATAAAAATACATTTGATAGTGAATGAACAATAGTAAAATTTCTCTATCATCAAAGAAATGACAACACAAATTTTGTATTATCATAAAGTACAACTACTACACTTTTATCCAGGAAAATATTTTTATTTTATAAATAAATGTATATTTCAATTGTAATTATATTTGATTAAAACACCAAAAAACTTTGAATCTCAGCTATACAGATCATAATGAATAGTCATAAATAACATAATTTAAAACTAGAAAATTAAAATTGTTATTCAAAGTAATAATATATAAAAATATATTAAATGTTGAGTTCAACATAAATTATTATATTTATTGATCATAGATTTCCTTGTCATACCTCATTAAAGTAGACAATATATTTTGCAAATAATGATCTTACTTCAAATAGGGGACATCCCTGTATCCTTAAATATTTTAATGCTGGAAAACGTCCAAGAATGTCAACATCATCCCACGTTCGAATTAGTGTTCGATTCAAATTAAGGAACCTGAGGTGAATAAATGCATCATGTGGTAAGTCCATCATGTTATCTATAAATTGTTAAAACAACAGTTAATAGATCAATCAATAATAATAATTTTTTAAATGATTACCATAAGAGTCGGTTTCTTGTTTGGGATAGGATAGAAGACTATGGTGAGTATCAGGTGAAGGAGGCGGAGTCATGAGGGATAACAGAGGACATTCTGCTAGCACCAAAGATTCGAGATTTGGGAATGCACGACCTAACTTACATACTTCTACCCACGTAGAAACTGGATTACCTAATAAAAATTAAATTTATTTTATAATTGAAATAAAAAAACATAAGGAAATAGATATACATTATGATCTGTTTCAATATTTTACCTGTAAAATGTAACTTTGTAACAGATGGAATTTGTATAGGTTGACAATTTTCATCATCATCTAATTCAATGACATCATAATTGTTCATGCTTAAATGTATTTCTTCGACCCTATAATAAAAAACATTAAACTTGTTATTCAGACATTAATGAAATCGGCTTAAAAAAGAAACATACATTGGAAGCTTTTTTAAAATGTGTTTAAAGCTGCTCCAAGTGATGTTAGTAGAGTTCAATACGACACTTTTTAAACACGGGTAGGTGTCTCGCATGATACCGCGTGGCAAGGTATTATTAATATCTGCACTAAGGTTATTGAAACTTAAATTCGCAAACTTGAGTTTTGGCATAATATTCAAAATTTTAAAAATCTAAAACAATAAATTACAAATAAATTAATTACTTTTTGCTTGAAAATACACTGTACAGCACAACGTAAACTAACTTCGTTCCATTCCGACAATCGGTTCTGTGCTAAATCCAATTCTTCTACGCCATGGCACTTGTCCCTTAGATCAGTCTCATTGCCAGCCGAATCGATATCACAATCATTCAGCACTAAAAGTTTTGGTAATACGTTCCTGGGATTTTTCCGGGGTACATATATGGCTATAGGCATTTGGTCAAAAGTATCATCTTCAGACGAACCATACTTCTCAGTGATCGCTTCTAACAGCGAGGGCATGTTTGTTAAGTTATATTTTAGTATGGACTTGTAACACACACACACCTGTAACGATATATACATATTATAGACTATAATAATGGGCAGTCATAATGCAAAACCCCCAAAACGAGAACATCATAATATTATACGACTCGATTTGAAAATTTCTAAATAATATTCATTCGACGCTTGTATATTGAATACTACACTATAGATTTGTACGATGTACTTATCAAAATAAATTTTCTTCATTGGTAAATTAAATATAAACAATGAAAATAATTTAAAAATTATATTACTACTTTTACTGTTTTTAACATCCATTGCTATGATATAAGTATAATAATTTTATTTAATCAAACTCAACAACTCAAATAATGTAAATTACTTTATTTACGACAACCTACTCCACGTTACCTTAAAATTATATAAAGCTATAATTGTTATTGTTCACGAAAAAAAAATCATAAATTAAGCGTTGACGTTAACATATATTCCATTACATGTTCGTATGAATATGTGTAATAAACGAATTTAATTCAAAAACAGCTAGATCTGTAAATTCGAAAAATTTTTATTCTATCGGTAAAGCAAATAATAATCAGACATAAAAGCCTCTTAATTGATAACACTTAAGTTACTTTAAAATATATTATGAATTACTCAAAACAATTTTTTATTTGTACTAGAACTGTGTCAATGAATAAAATGATTCGTGTTAAGGCCAAGAATTGTTCCACAATGTCATAATTTTGAAATTATAACATACGATATTTTACACAATGGTCGAAGTTGCTCAAAATAAGTAGAGGGATGCCCTCCATTTTTATTTTACTCTATTATTATTTTTGGTTAACGACCTGAATGTTAAACAAAATACAATAATGTTAGCCAATTATAATTATCGAAATTTAAAGATAATTCTTTGGATATTTAAAACAAATAATTAAATCTAATATAATATTGTATATTAATTTCAGGAAATTTAATTGAAATAATTGTAACAAAACAATATTTGAATTTATAATAGAAAAACACCAACATAAATTGATAAGCTTTTTGCACATTGTACAATACTGTTTATTCAGTGGATGAAAATAAAATATCTGAGTGTTGATATTTTTAATTGGTAAAAATTACCTACTTGTGGAAAAAAAATTAAATCTTCATAATTTAATAGTAATAATATTAAATAATTAAAAATATTGAATGTAACAATATAAAATATATTATGATCAACAATTTTGCACGATCATTAGATTGTTATACAGTAAAAAAAAATTCGCACATAATTTAAAATTACTCGAACCAATAGATATTTAAATAAACCAGTTTGGTGCTCACCAATGTTGTACAACTAATAATTATAAAAATGTGTACCTTTAATAAAATTTAAAACCTTGAACTAATTTTTTTTAATTATGACCTGTCAAGTATAATTATTGATCTGTAAAAATATCATCTGCAAAATTATAAATACATAAAGTGATTCACTAAAAGTTGTTTTGAATTAACAATAATTTTTAGCGAAATATTATTTAGGATTTTAGAAAATTATAATATTTAAAGACTATTTAAAATTAAAAATAATATTAAAATAATAAACGATTTATTTCAACATTAACTGCTATTCTCAAAAACATTATACACTAAATTACAGTTAGATTTTTTTACGCACCAGCTGGTGGCTATTTTAATATTCAAGCAAGTACATCGTATGTCTACTGACACGACACTGAATTGAAGTCCTCAGTTGAGGTGTCTATTGTGTGTTGGATTCAGTTGTTGATTTAGTTACAATATCAGTCATATAGGTGGGTTTACATTTGTGTATAGGGAAAGCACAGCAACACACCCGTTACTATTTTTTATACTAGCCGCTTTCGACTGATCCTATGACACGGTCAACTCCGAGTTCCCTAACAATTTTAGAGTAAAAAGAAAGGAGAATTATTGAAGAATACACAACACCTAGTCAGTCACATTATATCAGAGAACATATAATCCGTTTGTTTTAAAAACTTATGTAGAAAAAGAATTTTCAACAATATAAAAGTTACTATATAATTTTTATAAGTACATTGATAGTTTATTTAAGTTATTCCTTCGATGTATTAAATTATAGTTTATTATACTGAATATATTCTCCATTTTAGCCCAACTCTTTTTATTAAAAACACTTAACTTTCATAACGTCGCTGTTGTTGAGATTCGATTGACTGTTAACGTCCTAGAAATTTAAGGCCAATTGTGTAATTGTATCGTATTTTCTATTTAATCATCAAAAACTGGTGATAAATGTTGTATAAACTAGTCGCTAATAACTAATCCATTCAGCAAAGCCACGCCTAACACTGTGTAGGGAAGCTATATAAATAGCATTAACCATGTTTCTAATTAATATAGAATAGTTCATTTTATATGTGTTTTTTAAAAACTATTGTAACACAAGAAAGGTAAGCATACTTCATCGTTAAATAATTTATGAATATTATGAACGTCAGTCAAAAACAATAGCAAATCGGTTTAACGGCTTACACAACAAGGGACGAAAATCACTACACAGTGTGTTGAGTTGAGGATATAAAAATTACTAGACCACAACCAAACCTAATAATATATAACATTCTCTATTTTTAACAAATGCAATCATGTACAACTATAAATAAATAATTTAGCATATTAATGGACTAAAAATATATATGCAGATATAAACATGTTTATGTGATAAGACTATAAAATATAACGTAAAATAAAATTATCAGCGAACCTGAGTTTAGACTAATAAAAATTCCATTACATTATTGCATAAAAACACATACTGAAACTGCAAAGTTTACAATAAAAAACCTGTTCTAGGATTATTTACAATTGTCTGTATATACCAAAATAGTAATGACTGAACTTGAACTTGATACCATTTACAGGAGGTCAAATAATAATGGAAAATGTGATTTACTGTCGATCATCTGTCATAAATCTATTATTTAATGTTTTTTCAGTAAATAAGTGCAAATGAAATGTTTTTTACGATAATTTCAAATTATTTTCTCTCTAGTAGTTATATATAATTTAATGATTGATAATATTATAAGAGTAAAATATTGGCATTTCTTGAACATGATTAAAAAAAAATTGTATTAAAAAATATAGACGTTTAAAAAGGAAACTTAACATTTTTAAAAAGTATAATTTTCTAGATAAAAAGAAAAGGGAAATTATAACATTAGATCATCATTCCATAAAAAAAAAATAAAAACAAACATCACAAAATTGAATACACTTTGAAAAAAATTCAGTATTTATCAAACTGTTTGGAAATTCATAAATAAAACATTTTGATCGATTTATAATCCATAGGTGCAATTTGAACATAATTTATGAGGTATCTAACTTAATCTTTCCCTACTTAAAAAAAAATTCTGTTATAAAATTAGAGGGGACTAAGTCCTCTCTTGACCTTACAAATTCCGCAATGTTATCATACAAATATTAAGCTAATTAAATTACCAATAACTTCTAATTTAGTAGAAATAAATAGTCGTTGTTAACTATTAGAATATTTGAATATTATTATTTGACAATATTGACAATTAATATTTACTATTTACATTTTAATGACAACAGTATTCAATATGTTATACACATTATAGACTAAACATTTGATACCGATAAGTGTACAAAAATGGTTACGAGTATTCGACGACGAATGGTGAAATTGGAAAACTCAAAAACAAAGGTCAATTCATAAAATAAGTATTTTTTGTATCTATATTTATATTGTACTTTTGTCGAAGTAACAACGTAGAAATTACGAAACAAAACAATAGGAGGCGATCGGAAAACCCGCGTGTGTAAAAATTATTTGTAATGAATTGTTAACCAAGTCTATTTAAGTTGTTAATAATAATGATTATAATAATTACTTAAAATGCCGCTTGATCTTGTAAAAAATCTCATTGTCGTCAAAACAGCATCAATTGTTATATAGAACCAAATATATTGATAATTTCTATGTATAAAAAACAATAGGAAAATATAAAAATTAATAAGGTTTAAAATACCATGTACTAGATATGATTTTTTTTTAATCTAGTGATATGCGTAATATCGTTATCGTTGTTTTTTTATTATCCACTTTAATGATATTTAATTGTCTCTACTTGGGTGCACAATACACTACTTTTATCACCTGTTTCGAAATGTTATCATTGCAAAACACAAGCATACCTATTCTGCAATGCATATGGAGTACAATGTAACAATTCGTATTATGTTACTTTTTTATTTTAACAGAACACCAGTATGCATAACGTTTTATCTTATAAATTGTTGGAACAGAAAAGTTAAAAAATAACTAAGATAAATATTGTTCTTGATAGACAATCGTTTATAAGATCCGTAAGTAACACACCACAGTGATAATCTTTTCAATATTAAAGATAAAAATGATTTTTTTACGCATAAAAGATTATATTAGTCGTTAAATGCTTTTGTTGAGAAAACTCAAGGCCCGTATGCTGGTTTATGACGTTTTAAATTGGATCCAGATTATATCGTAGACGTAGTGTCATTCACAAACTAGTTCTGTACTAAATTGTAATTTCCGGTGTCCGGATTTAATTTTCTCAATTGAACGAATCGTATGTTTATCGCGATAACGAAACTGTATCATAAAACATTTTCATTTAAGATAACAAAAATTTTCTGTTAATTTTTTAACACTCAAAACTATAAAGCCCGAAATTGGATCTCGGCCAATTTTTATAAATATCGCCGAGGTCTTCTGAAGGATTTCTTATTAAACGTCACCAAAGATTTTTGTGATGAAATTTTAAGTCGCAAAAAACTTCAAATTAGTCAATTAGAATAATTTGCAATAAAATGCAAAATACATACATATTTCATTATTTCAAACTATCAGATAAATCATTTTTCTCTGTATAAATCTGCTAAATTTCTTCATTTCAAATGAGCAATTAAAGTATAAATTTGGTCTCAATTAATACATGGTACTAATACTAAAAAAAATACGTATAACAATGGCAGATTTAAACATATAAAAAGTGTTTTTTTTTTTTATTAAATTCGTCACAGGTGTAGAAGTACATTGTTTAATGTATAGTTATGAATATTTATTATTTCTAAATAATAATATTTTGAACTTTAATTTAATGAAAACGTTTTTTTAATTAAAAATCGACGTTCATATAATGTATTCCAAGAAAATTTCTAAGTATAGTCAATAACAAAACATCTTGTTGTAAATATTTGATTTAGCAACAATACAAGGATAAATTACAGAAAATTTCATGTCTCATAACGCTATTATTGACTTCATAAATAATATAGTTTATAAAAAAAACAATTTTCGGAAATAGTGAAGAACAATTTTCCATAGCATTTACAAGGTCAAATGGAGAGTTTATGCGCTTTCACGTATGAAACATATCAGGGTATCATTATATTTCAATTTCACACGACTCACAAAAACCACCGGATTCTCCGTACTACTTAACCGACCCCACTTGTGGACGGTAGATTGTGTTTCCGTTTTAATAAATACACACACAAAAAAAAAAAAAAA